CATAAATTTGTTGATAAAAATATTGTTCTTTTTCTAATATTTTATTATATAATTTGATAATAATTCAATAATATTTACATAATATTATGGATAATAATATTTTGAGAAAACCAACCTATAAAAAACATATCTAATTTAAATTTCAAATTATGTCTACTATCTTCTAAAATATCAAAGTCATTTTATAGTTTGTTTCCATCGATGAATCAAACAAATAAAACCTTTATATAAACTTCATATTGTTTTTTCTTTTTTTTTTTACTTTTTAAATTTCTATATTTTTTAATCATATTACTCTTCTAAATTTTTTATTTTCTTCTCCTTTTTCTATTTTTATATTCTTTATGCTTAATTTTTTTCTTTCATATTGTATTTTTTTTATTTTGGTTTTTGATTTTCTTTTTCTTCTCTGTCTTTTACTTTCATCTTCTCTAATTCTAATTTTCATCTTTTTCATGTTCTTCTTATAGCTCTATCTCTTTTCTATTCTTGGTTTTCAAAGAAAATGTCTCCCTCTCTCCCTTTTTTTTTTAGTCTTTGATTTTCTTATTCTATTCTGGTTTCCAGTTTTTATTTTCTTCTCCTTCTTCTACTTTCGTCTTCTTCATTTTTGATTATCATCTTTTTCTTATACTTTATATTGTTCTATCTTTCTCCCATTCTTGTTTTCGAAGGAAATTCACACACTCTCTCTCTATCTCTTATTCTTGTTTTTCAAGAAAATTATGTGACTCGTTCTCTTTCTCTCTCTTATTTTAAACATGTGTCCATATGTCTTAATCTCTCCCAAGGATATCATCTCTAGGACATACAAAGAATTTGGAGTGAAGTACACTACTAATAAATATAAAACTATAAACACAACAATTTAAAAGAATTGGATGGAGCGGTATCAACACGAAGCATAACATGGAGACTGATTCAAGAAGGCAATCGTACAGACTAGTATATATTAAATATTAAAATTAAAACCAGCAATATCATGGTTAAAACTTTTGCGAAGTGGAATTGTGTCGTTAAGAACCAAGAAAAGAAAATGAGTTGTGTTTCATTATTATTTTGGAATCAATTAATATTATTTTAATAAGTAAAAGAGAAATAAATAAGATATAACATAATATATTATAATTTAAAAATAATGAATAGTTTCTTTTCTCTCGCTCTATTCATTCATAGAAAGAATATATGTATAAAAATTGTTTTCTATTTTTTTCTTGATCTAAAAACTTATTTTTATTTTTGAAAAAACTATTCATATATAAAAAGAGCATAACATGATGAATGAATGAATGAATGAAAGAGGCTTAAACATGAACTAAATGCATGCTAAAACATAGTAAAATATGAGATTATCACCCAGCTATTACAAAGAGTCTGATTTATGAGTCCAAAATTCGGATTCCTATTTTATGCATGGTTTCCACGAACAGCACATTCTTGGTACTTCCGGTGTCGACTAGTAAATGTTTGACTTGGAATCGTGACATTCCAAGTAAAATCACAAGCGTCTTGTTATGAGCCGCGGTCACTTGGGCGGCCGCAGGCTTCAAAAAATATATCATCTGCCCTGTTTTTTCCGTTAAGCTAGGCTGGACCTGTTCCCTAGAGTTTTGGCCATGGTCTGGGGGACTCGTGGTTAACTGATATCACGCCTGCACACCCTTATCCGAATCCATGATGATGGCATTGATTATCTCTCGGACGGCTGGCTGTGCCTCGACTACCTCGCCTCCCCTCTCCTCAAGTAGGCGGGTGCGCGCTTTCTTCCAAAGGAGGTGGGTGAGCAGTCCTTTGACGATGAGCTCCAAGACTTAATTCCTGAGCGTATAGCACTCTTCAGTCGCGTGTCCCTTATCCTTGTGGAATTCGCAGCAGTCGAGGTGGTCTTGAGATGAGTCCTCTGTGAACCTTTTTTTATCCGGAGGCCACATGACGACGGGCCCAATAACCTTCAGAGCCTCGATCATCACCGTCGAGTGGCGTCTATTTCGAGATCATCAAATGCCATCTCGATATGGGCCGCTTCCCCTAACGCTGGGTTAGAGGACTTCCACCTGCCCCCGGAAATTGGTAGACTCGGTGATCCGGAGTATCCCTCGGGTTATTTGGCGTGGTAACTACCCATCTTGTTAGAGTAGCCTCCAGAGGATTCCTCCCGATCTCTCTGCTACCTTTGAGAATGGGGTGCCATCGCGGCTATGTGATATGGGTCGCTATCCCATCGGATTTGCATGCGAACGTAGTTCAGGACATATTCCATGGTAGCGCATTCGTTCTTGGTCATATCTTCATAGAGTCCTAAGCCTTTCAGGAGTCCTTTCCTGAAGGTGTGTACGAAGGTGTGTACTGTCGTGACTCTATGGCAGTCGGGTATCTCCACTTGTATGGCATTGAAGTGAGTCACGTAGGACTTGAGAGTCTCCTCGAATCCTTGGCTGACATTGAATTAGTGTCCCATGCCCCGGGTTTGGCTTATGGCTGCTGGTGAGCTGTTGGACGAACATGTTATGCAGCTAGGCAAAGAAGTCGATAGTCTTGTTAGGATGACTGATCAGCCATTGGAGGACAGGTCCCGAGAGCATCACAATGAAGCACCCTAATGTACAACATGCGAGAAGCCGAGATCATTCTTTGCTTCGTATGATTTCATGGTAGGGTATCCAAATTTTTTTGGTACCTCGGTGTTTGCGATGTCTTCTGAGAAAGGAGAGTCGTTATATGAATCCCTTGTAACTTGAGTTATCCGAAGGCAATGCTGTGACAACCATGTGACGATATTGGCCATGTGCTCTGCCATCCACATGGCGATAATCTGATCCAGATCTGTCGGCCCAGCGACCCGGATTATGGCGTCATCCACTGCTCGCCATCCTCCGGCCCTGTCAAGATGGGCGGAATGATCTGCTTCCGCCGACCCGTGGGCGGTCGGGATGGCGGTGTCATCTGCAGACGGGAATGTCATGACAGGTACACACCATTCTAGGCCAGGGCAGAGTGGAGCGTTTCAGCCCATTGAGATTGTCAGACCATCCGCATCCACGGGTCTTGTGGTAGCGTGGCCAGGGGGCGTGCTTGCCTGCCCGGCTTGCTGCTCTAGCTGGCGGTTTCTTTCCATAGCTCACATGTTTTCATAGTCTAATATTTATCTCGGAATGTCGAGACTAGAGGAGCCATCGGGGGAACCTGGTTAGTGGTTCCTTGTGCGTAGTCTTCTTGGGTGACCGTCTCTGGTGGGCTTGGCGGATCGTTTCCTTCGTTTGATATCAGGCTGGTTCTTCCCCCCTCCTTCTAGTGCCAACTGTTCGAGAGCAAATTTTGAGATGCCACGTGGAGGGATCTGATAGGCTGTCGGACTTGCAAGGAAGATTTGAACTATGGGGGTGGGTTAGTATGCAGAGAAAGAAAGAAGGAAATAAATCACAATGAACCAGAATAGGGTTACCCTTCTTATTACGCTCTGATGCTCAAGTCAGACAAGACACACGATTGGTCGAAAGACGCAAAGAATCGAAAAAGCAAGGGAATGGGGTGTTCTATCAACTTGGAGGGATCTCGATAGAACTTTTAGTGTTTGAGACTGAGATTATGAAGCTAGAAGATGAAGTGATCTTTCTAGGAATTATCTTCCTCTATTGTTGGTGCGAAGAGTACCTGGTTGCGGGCCGGACCCCAATTAAGACATTGAGTCTCCCAGAAAAATATGGTTGCTGATCTGCTCCGTCTTTCCCTAACCGTCATCACTGTGACCTTCCTTCGTAGATACAAAGCATTTAATACTCCTTGAATTCCTACCGCATCCACTTCCCACACGTTTAAGGCCATAATTATATTTTGCGATCCAATAAAAATAATATTTTAAAATTGGTAATAAACAATAATACGTTTGAAAAATAGTATCATAAAAATGATAATTGTTAAACATGATAAAAACAATGGTACTTTTTATTTTTCTATTTTTTATAATTTAATTTAGGTTTCTATAATCGTTTTTTCTCTCTAAACCTAAAAATGCTCTCTCTTCTCTCTAACTTTTAGAAATCCCCCACCGCCTCCTTCTACTGACTTTGGTGGCTTCCTCAGCACCGGAGTTGGTTTCGTTTAGTTTTTGTTCTTTAGATCTTGTTTCTAGCTTTTTTCTCATGTTCTCAATTCCGTTTTCTAATCTTAGGAGTTTTAACTGGGAACTGTTATTCAGTTTTGGGGTTTTTAATTCTTCAGATTTCTGGTTTTGAGAGCTTGTAAGCGACGTGTGTTTGTTTCGGTTCTTTGTAGTTTATAGATGTTTTTATTCCGTTTCTCTGTGTTAGACTTTGGGTATCTCTAGTTTGATTGTTTTTTTTTTTTTGTAATATTGCTTTCTTGCAAGCGGATTCCGAATCATGGGTCAGAGTGGTTTTCGTGTTGATTGGCAGATCTGTGTTCTCACGGCTTCATTAGATTGGGAGCTGGCTTCATCAGACTGTGAGCAATTTGAGTCATTGGGTAAACGTCCTGTAATAAGAAGAGTAGTTATGAACCCTGTGGACCATCCCCATTGAGGTGGTGAAGGGAGGACTCCAATTGGTAAAAAAAAACTCATGGAGGTGGTGACTGAAATCTTCAATCTTTGGACTTATTAATGCAAAAAAAGTTTGTTCTATCAATTTAAAAATCTTCTTTTGTGTTCTCTTCTAATTTACAGTTTAACGATTTCAATCTGTTTTTTTTTTGTATTTTTTCTTATGTTCTTTGTTATTCGGTTCTATGTATTTAAAAATGTATCAGTCATGTATTTCACAGATGTATTCTTCAAGATTTAAATAAAATTTACAGTTGACAAAAAATAAATTAGGTTTTTTATTTTAATTTTCTTGTAAAGAGAAAATTCATTAAAATATCAAAATCATACAGTTCCATAACACTCTTTGTTTTTTTAATGCGACAAAGGATCTAAAAACAAGCCGAGTATTGTGGATACAAAAGAACGTTTGAATCATAAACAAATAAATAAAAAATTACATTCAACAAAGTTTAGCTTTGAGATCCTTTCTCAGAATTTTTCCGGAAGGAGATTTGGGAATTGAAGGAACAAAGAAGACCTTGTGCAATCTCTTGTAGAACACCACCTACAAATCCACACATCAGTTATATATTTATTCCATATATATATATATATATAAAGCATATAAGAAAAAAAAAAAGTAAATAGTTTCGTGTTTTTACTAATACATTTTTTATATGTATGATGCTTAGAGGTATGATGGGTTACATGGGTATCTATTTATTCAGCACACACCCACAAAAGTAAGCGTACCTGTTTGGCTATATATTCTTTTATATCTTCTTCGGTGATGTAGTTTCCATTGGATCGCACCACGAAAGCCACCGGAACTTCACCAGCCACTTCATCTCCTTGGCTATAAAGTGACCAAGAAAGTTTTTAAAACAGTGCCGTTTACACTATCTTATGACTCAATGCATATATTGGTGTGCTTCTTAGTACTTACGGAACAACAGCAGCATCCGCAATTGAATGGTGATTGATGAGCAAAGCTTCAAGCTCAGCCGGAGGAACCTGTTCTTTCGCATTTAATCATCAGGGCCACAGTTCCCAAACAATCTTATACTCCTTCCATTTTGTTTATGGGATATTTTAGAAGATTGTTTTTGTTCAAAATTAGAAAATATTTTCAAAAATCAATGCAAAAAGTAATTGTTTTAATTATTTAAATTTTGTATATTATATTTCTATTGGTTGAATTGTTTTAGAAATGATATTTTATTTTAGAAAAAGAGAAAATTTTAATAATTTTTTAATATATGTGCAAAACCTTAAACATCTTATATAACCAAAATTTTAGATTTTTACTGTAAGAACGTAACCTATCTTTTAAACTAATCACTACAATTTCATATTCTTGTTCTGTATAATTAATTACAGTAAAGATAATTCTACTATTTTTTCCATATACCTTAATTTTGGCATGTATTTTGAAAATACCATGATGGAATAATCATAAATAAGTGAAATATTTTCTTTAACATAATAAGTGAAATATTTTGCACGTTAATTTTACAAATAATACACTTTCGGAATGTTTTTTTTAAATTAACATGTATTATACTTTGACGATGGCTCATTAACCTGCTATCATATTATTTAGCTGAAAACTCGTGAGCTTTTACAACGATTTTATTACTGAATCATTTTACATATACGTGTTAAAGTAATGTTATTTAGTAATGTTCAAAAAAAAAGTAATGTTATTTGGCCAGGTAACTTTTTAAAGAAAGATGTTTAATTTTTAAAAAATATTAACACAAAATAATATAATTTAAAAGGGTGAATAATTATAGTTAATCTCGATTATTATAATCTTTTAAAAATGACTCAATTAATGGACTTGCCTGAAAGCCTTTGAATTTGATGACCTCTTTGAGCCGATCAACAATGAAGATCTCATCATCTTCATCCACATACCCAATGTCCCCTGTATGAAGCCAACCTTCTTCGTCTATTGTTGCTGACGTGGCTTCTGGGTCGTTCAAGTACTCTACGCGCCAATAGTAGTTAAAAAGTTTTTTGGTCAAAGTAGTAATTAAAAAGTTATATCACGATTCACTTCTTTAATTGTTAACCTTAATTAGGGCGAGATTGGGATATGTCCCCTGAATCTTTATTACCCTTTTTTGTCAACATTTCATTTCAAGGAATATAAAGACATATCACGACGTGCCGTTATATGCACTTCATAAATATAATGCATGTCGAACAAATGTACAGGTTTTTTTTTTTTTTTTTTGATAAAGGGTTTAACAAATGTACAGGTGATGCAAACCTAATTCAAATTAAGGATGTACTGGATACTAAGATAATTGAACCTTTTTGGTTTATTTGTTTGTCGGATTATTTTAATGTTAAAATTAGTTAAATTACACAAAATTCCTTAGTTTCAATGAAAAAAATTATGCAGAACTTAAATGCGTTTTCTCTTATTTTTGGTAAATAAAACAAGAAATTAAGTATTAATATATTAATATCTATATACATATTTTTTTTTCTTTCTGAAACCACAACAAAGTTTAGGATATTTTTTTTTTGTATTTTAAGATTAAAATAAATTTATGGGATTTTTAAGATTAGACTAAAAATAAAATGTAGTTCTTAACTTTGTTTTGTCGTCAACCAATTAGTCTTTTAGATTTTTTTTCTTTTTTTGAACATTGTCAACTTTCCATTGAAAGAATGTAAAACTTTCACTGTCACAAATTTATTCCCCGGAAAAAGAGACAACAAAATGTGAACAGAAAGACAGAAGAAAAAAAACGAACCTTTCATGATTTGTTGACCACGGATACAAATTTCACCAGGTTGGTTATAGCCAAGAGAGAGACGTGTCTCAAGGTGAACCACTTTAAGTTCTGCGTTTCGGACCACAGTCCCACAAGAGCCTGATTTTGTCGGGATAGGTTCTTTAGCGAACCCAAGGCTCATTGACAAGACTGGTCCTGCTTCAGTCATACCATATCCCTGTTTATTGATAATCCACCGGTTATTAATTACCTCACTAATTACACGTAATTAATTTTTTGACACTATCATACTAATTCACATAGATTAAGGGAGTGTATTAAAATTGAAATTTTAAAATATTTTATGAATATTTTAAAATTTTATGTTATTTAACTAATGAATTTTAAATATTTTATCAAAATCTATATTATTGAATATGAAATTTATATAAAATCAATTAAAATCACTAAATTTTTATGTTATTCAATTAAAAATTTGTAAGAATTAAATTAAATATATTATTATTAGAAATATTCTAAATAGTGGATTTTAAAACATATTGAATACTTTTAAATGATTTAGAAAAGTTTGTTAGTTGAAAATATAAAATTCTAAATTTCGTTGTTTTAGATAGAATTTTATATAATTTTAATATCAAATTATATTAACTTTCTCAATCTACATAAAATCATCTAAAAATTCATCAAAACTCAAATCTTTTTAAATTTTCTAAAATTTCAGTTTCAATACACTCTCCTAAATTACTCAACTCGATAATGCTATATAATTTGGATTACACGATTATACGAGGTTGCTCTAATAATTATTGGGATTTGCTATATAAAGAAATATTTTTGAAATAGTTTAGGCTATATAAAGAAATACTTTTGAAATAATTTAAAAGAGGGTTGATTCCTATGTACATAATAAACCCTCTTTTAAATTAACTTGGATATAAATTTGGCTTTGTTTATTAATAATTCATCATCATTTGGTATTTTTTCTTATATAAATACATATTTGTAAATTATCTCTTAACAATCCATTTTTGTTAAAGTATCCATATATTGTGTTATTTATGTTAAATTTATGTGTTTATTGGTGTTCAAAAAAAATATGTGTTCAGTGTGTGTGTGAATGTGTGTTAGAAACGAGACCACGTCACATGACAGAGTTTTGATAATCTCAAGACCCACATCGTTTTTTTCTTCTAAATAATCAAATGTAATAAAGATTAAAGAAATTTAATAAAGCAGCAACAAAATATCCAATGGTCAGAATCCCTCAAGGGTTCTTATCATTATTTTTAATATAAATTTCGAAAATTTTAAAATTAAAAGCTTTTTTTGGAATTCTTAAAATTGTTCTCCTCCAATAATAGTATTCTAATTGGGGGTTCTAAAAACTAAAATCTCTTTTTTTATCAGCAAACAAAAAAACCAAAAAAACAAATAAAAAACTTTATCCAATCACAATGCAATATATCAAGAGTTCTGATGAATTCTAAAAACTCTCACTTCAAAATCGATTCTACACATAATTATCTATTTTCATTTAATTTTGATCAGAACCTTTCTTAAAAGCTCCCATTAGAGATGCAGAGTAATACTATTTTCGAAAATCTTTCAAATAACTTATGTTTGAACCAGATATATATATTCTTCTCTTCTTCATCTCAACATTAAAGGTTTTTCAAATTTGAAAAGAAATGCTTTTAAGTGTAATAAAAGTTATTGTTAATGTTTTTAAAAAAAAGTCATTGTTGAAATTTTTGGAGTATATTTAAATATTTGGAAATGAGAAATTAGTAAAACAGACACTGAATATTAACGCAACAAGAACTCTAGTATCCAAATCAAATTTATAAATATTTGAGAAAAATTAATCTATTAGATCGGCGACCTAAATCACATCCATTTTTTTGTTTGTTCCTTTGTCTAAACCTAAACTATATCTGTTTCCTTACATCTAAAGAAAAAGGTAAAACAAATATTAGAAAAAGAAAGGAAATGCAATGCAAAATTAGCTTGGGAGCAGATGGACAGTACGTAACCGGAATTATGCCGAAGAGCTAGACGCAACTCACTCCTCACTCTCTTCCCGTGTATTCCCCTCCCATTTTTTGTTTTTAATTAATTATTTAACATAACTGTTTAATTAATTAACCAACTAGTTACGAAATGGTTCCCGCGAAAATTAATAAGGCTGTAACGTAAGACAAAAGAGTAAAACAAATATTAGCAGAGACACACACCTGACCAAGGACGGCCTGAGGGAGGCGGCGACGGAGGTTATCTTGGAGATCTTTGCCTAACGGAGCTGCACCGGAGAGAACCAATCTAACGGAAGAGAGATCGTAGGAGTTAACGGTAGGGTTCTTAGCTAAAGCAATCACAAGCGGTGGAACAAGCGCCGCTATTGTAACCTTGTGTCTCTGGATTAGATCCAATAACGCCCCAATCTCGAATTTGTGCATAAGAAGAACCGTCGCACCTATATATATACTTAATTAGTTTAATCATCATTAGAGAGTAGTTCGAAGCTAAAAAGATTACTTAGGCGCTGAAGTCTTTTAAGTTTTTTTGTCCGTTCCCTTCTTGTACCATCCGATTTTCGCCATGTCCCAAATTTTAAATAGAACGTATATGAGATAATAGTATTTTGATTCCAGAAATATCCCATTCCCGTTCCCGCAGAATCCTTTACCGAAATTTCTTTTGCCCATCGCTAGTTCTCCTAAAACATCTTATAAAGCTTTTGGTATGCTTTTATAAATTAAAAAGATTTTGAGTTTAAGTACCGCATCTGATGGAATTGAGGAGGACGCTATTAAGAGAGTAGATGTGGAAAAGAGGCAAAACGCAGAGTACGACGTCGTTTGATTGAAGGTAAAGATTTGGGTTCTCTCCATCAACTTGTTGCGCAACGCTCGTGATTAAGCTCTTATGAGTCAAAACCACTCCCTTTGGCAAACCCGTCGTGCCAGAAGAGAAAGGGAGTGCCGCCGCATCTTCACCATCGACATCGACAGATTCTGATTCTTCTTGTGGGTTTGTCTCGTCAATGAGTGTGGAGAAAGGTAGACAATTCTCCGGTGTAGGATCCTCGGTGGTGATCACCGTGAGATCTTCTCCGATTTTGGTTTCTTGGTCGAGGTTTCTCAGTTTTTCGACGTAATGAGAGTGAGTGATGATGAGTTTAGCTCCGGAAAATTTGAGCTGTTTGTGAATCTCTTGAGAAGTGTAGAATGGATTTGCGGTGGTTGAGACGGCTCCGATCATGGAAGCACCCATGAAGGAGAAGACGAATTCGGCTGAGTTTTGAAGGAGGATCATGATGACGTCACCTTTTCGAATCCCTAGTTTGTAGAATCCGGCAGCGACTCTCCGGCAGATTAGGTGTGTTTCCCCGTAGGTGTAGCTTTTTCCGGTGGATCCTACTATTAGACAAGGCTTGTCGGAAACAGAGGAAAGCTTGTCGAAGCAGTAAGTATGGAGAGGGAGGTGGTTTGGAATGTCGATATCTGGAAGCTTTGATCGGAAAATGCGAGGCTTAGGAGGCTCATCATGGCCGGAGACAACGGTGGAGGTAGTATCGGCCGGTTTGTGAATCTGGGGTTCGTGTAGAGCCGCAGTTATCATTGTGTAATGAAGAGTGATGAATGTGTTTATTTGATTTTGTTTTTGTTTTTTTTTTTGTTCGATTGCTTTGGAAATCAAGAAATGTAAATTATATAGAAATGTGTGAATGTGTAGGTGATGAGGGAAGAAGAAATAAATAAGTGGGGAAGAAGAAAGAAAGAGAAATGGGGTAGGTAGAGGGAATGGCTGTTAGAAGAGGAATGGAGGATTGTTTGGTAGGTTTCATTTTGCTATATACTCTTGCTTGCATGTTCCTCTTTCTTTTCTTTTAATATTCAATTTGTGTTTTCTTCAAATTTTGTTACATATAAATTATTAATGATATTTACACATGACAGTCATAATAATCACCCATATACAGTATAACTTTTTCTTATCTTAAATCCTTATAATCATTCTTATCATTATATCCTTATAATTAATTAGTAATTAAGTCTATACTTTGTCATTGTTTTATATTCTTTATACATATATATATATATATATATATTTCTTTTTCAATTTGAAATATATTTTTTGATATTAGATATTTTATTTATGTTAAGTTTTTTTTTAGTTTCTTTTTATGTTAGTATTATGTGAAAGAAAACTTTGTTAATGATTTGTAATTTTTTATGTTGATACCATGTTCAAATAAATGTTTTACATATATCTTTAAAAGGATTAAAATTTATATAATAAGATATGAAAAAATGAATATTTATACCATTTGTTACGTGGGTTTTCGTATATTATTGGCATAAGAATTCCAACTTTTGTATGATGGCCGGTCCATTATATTATTTTGAAAAACTTGCATGAGTCGTTGACTAGTCATGCAAATGACCATGTACCATGTATTCTTACTTTTTATTTGTACTAAGTGAGTACCCGCCCACCATTTAATCACGATAGTAAAGATTCGAATGGACCACTTACGTGAGTTTTTTTTTGTTTTTAGTTTTTTTTTAAAATAAGTTAGTTTAATCCTTCTATTTTTTGTTTTTTTTTTAAAAATAAATATAATCAACTGAGTTATTATATAATACATAAAACATTTACATAACTTAATATCTTTGTATAAATAAATCATCTAATTTTGATATAATTTTTGTGTATAGTGATCTGGTTGTGAAAAACCGAGAATATGTATAGGAAAGATTGACACGGACTGGTATAACTCGCACGGGTACATGGTTTATCATTGGCGATTTTAACGAAATTACCGGGAACTATGAAAAATGTGGGGGTAAAAACCGTTTTAAAACTTCTTTCCTTCCTTTCCAAGCTATGATTTACGGGTGTGGCTTTATTGATTTCCCCTATAAAGGTAATCCACTCTCTTGGGTTGGAAATCAAACAAACAGGAAGATTAAATGTCGCCTTGATAGAGCAATGGGCAACGGCGACTGGCATGAGATTTTCTCCCACACTAAGGTGGAATACTTAAAACTGTGGGGTTCTGACCACAGACCCATTTTGGCCTCTATTCTCAATAGACCTATGGCTTTTGCTAAAAGATTCATATTCGACAAAAGATGACTGGGAAAACCCAGCCTAAAAGAAGCAATACATGAAGGATGGAGAACTCCGAGATCCACGGCTGGAAGGACTTTGACAAGAAGGATATTTTCATGTCAAAAAAGAATCTCCATATGGAAGAAAAGTACGAAAACAAACACGGAAAAACTTATTCTAGCTCTCCAAGACCAGATTGACAAAGCCCAAGCTGATGACTCAGTGTCCTCGAGAGACCTCCTAAAATTAAAATGGAAGCTCTGTGATGCATATAGGGAGGATGAGCTATTCTGGAGACAGAAGAGCAGAAATATTTGGCTAAAAGAAGGGGATAGAAACACCAAAATTTTCCATGCTACTACAAAGCTTCGAAGAGCCAGAAACCATATTCTTGGAATACTTAATCAAGATGGTGTATGGATTGATAATGAAGTGGGTATTGAAAAAGTGGCAGTGGATTACTTTGCCTCACTCTTCAGCTCCTCAGACCCTAGAGACCCTGCAGAGGTACTTAGGGACGTTCCTGAGATGGTCTCTGAAGATATGAATGTTTCCCTTACGTGTGAGACTTCCAAAGCGGAGGTAAAAAAGACACTATTTTCCCTACATCCTGAGAAAACACCAGGCCTAGATGGCATGACGACTTTGTTCTATCAAAAATTTTGGGATGTAGTAGGCTCAGATGTAGTTGATATGGTCAACGGTTTTTTCACTTCTGGAATCCTGGATGAGAAGATGAATGAACTAATATATGCCTAATTCCTAAAGGAGAGCGACCAAGAGAAATGTCAGGCTTCAGACCTATTAGCTTATGCAATGTAAGTTACAAGATTATATCAAAGATTCTAAGTCTCAGACTTAAGAAGTTCCTTCCAGACTTGATTTTCGAGACACAGACAGCCTTTGTTGCAGGACGACTGATCACATATAATATTCTCATTGCACAGGAGAATTTCCATTCTCTAAGGTCTAATCAATCTTGCTGCCAAAAGTTTATGGCCATCAAGACGAAAATGAGTAAAACTTATGATAGAATTGAGTGGCCCTTCCTTAAAGCATTGATAGAAAAGATGGGCTTTACGACTAAGTGAATTGGATGGATTATGCAGCGCATCACGACAGTTTTATATCGCATACTACTAAATGGGGTACCAAGAGGATCAATAAGACCATCACGTGGAATTAGACAGGGAGATCTCATATCGCTATACCTTTTCATCTTGTGTATTGAGGCCCTAGTTGCACAAATTAGACGAGCAGATGAAGAAAATCGAATCCAAGGATTGAGAGTCGCGGTTGCTAGTCCACGAGTGTCACATTTGTTATTCGTGGATGATAGCTTATTTTTCTGTAAAGCCGATTTACAGCAAAGCAAAGATCTTATAGAGATTATCCACCGTTATGGTGAGGCCTCTGGGCAACAAATTAATTTTGCCAAATTTATTATGTTTGGCAATGATGTCCGTGACCTACGCTGTGAGATAAAAACTCGGGTAGGGATAACACATGAAATGGGAATGGACACATACTTAGGCCTCTCGGAGAAAATTTATGGTTCAAAAACTCAGGTTTTTGCCTTTGTCCGAGATAGGTTACAGAAAAGAGTAACCTCTTGGTCCTCACAGTTGCTCTCTAAAGGTGGTAAGGAGGTTCTGATCAAATCGCAAGCTCAAGCCCTTATGACTTATGTAATGTCGTGCTTTCTTCTCCCGAAAGCTATATGTGCCAAGCTTAGTAGCGCTACAACAAACTTCTGGTGGAGTTCTAAGGAAAACTCACGAGGGATCCATTGGATGGCATGGGAGAAACTTTGCACCCAGCTTTCAGATGGAGGTTTAGGTTTTAGAACGCTGGAGGATTTTAACATAGCTTTATTAGGGAAGCAGTTATGGCATCTCCTTAGATTCCCGGATTCACTGCTAAGCCGAGTGCTTAAAGGGCGGTACTACAAATATTGTAGTCCGCTAGATATCAATATTTTGAATCGTCCTTCCTATGGCTGGAGAAGCATAATGGCTACAAAACCCCTCATGCTCTTGGAAATTTGCAAAACAATTGGTAATGGGTTCATGACTAGAGTCTAGTCAGAGCCTTGGGTTCCAGACCAACCTGCACGCCCACCCAAGAGCTTGGGAGGAGATGGATCCACTATATACGTCAACTCACTAATAGATTTCAACACGAAACAGTGGAGAATGGATTGTCTTAAAGCTTTATTCCCACCGGAAGAGATTACTCTAATTTTGGGGATTCGTCCAAACCGATCAGGTTTGAGAGATGGATATAGTTGGCCCCTCACCAAGACAGGAAACTACACAGTAAAGTCTAGATACTGGGCTGCAAGGGCCTTATCTCGTCACACTCGCGACCTCCCTCTTCAGGGACCATGTACCACGGTACTTAAGGCGCAAGTGTGGAAACTAAAAACTACATGGAAACTCAAACATTTCATGTGGTAATGTCTTTCGGGATGTTGGGCTTCATGCTATAACCTTCAATACCATCATATTGGCCGAGAGAAAGAATGCCCCCGCTGCGGAGCGGAGGAGACTATCAACCACTTGATTTTTGAATGCCCTCCGGCCAGACAGGTTTGGGCTCTATCATCAATACCCTTGGGGCCTGAGCGTTTTCCCTCATAGGAGCTATTTCCGAACCTTTATTTCCTCTTTTGGAGAGCAAATCAATTAGGTGGGAATGATGAATCAATCCGGGCTTTTCCGTGGATCATATGGTTTATATGGAAAGCTAGGAACAGGAAAATCTTTGCAAATGAGGTTAAAGACCCGCAGGAAACGATATTACATGCTATCCAAGAATCGAAGGAATGAAGGGAGGCTAACTTACAAGACATGGCAACTACATAAGAGATGGACCCATCGGCCTCATCTAGATTTCCTGAGCCTCTAGGGCCGATGTGCTTGACAGATGGCTCTTGGGTGGAATTGGATGCTCGGAGTAGACACGGTTGGATAGTGCTCATAGAAGACAGGATAGTACGGGTGGGCCTAAAAGGATCACGACGATGCCTATCTCTTTTATATGTGGAACTCGAGTCTCTTCTGTGGGCTATGAAGTGCTTAATTTTAGAGTCAATGACTACTACATGCTTTGCAACGGACTGCACTGATCTGATCATGATGGCTAACAATCCGGAGGAATGGTCATCCTTTGCTTCCAAACTAGAAGAATTTAAATATTTCAGAGAATAGTTTGTATCCTTTAATATTTCTCATATTCCTCGAGCAAAAAATATCCATGCTGATAAGCTTGCGAAATGTGCAAAAACATGAGGTTTCTGTTTTTCCCATGTAAGTACGGTTGGTCCGCCATGGCTTTCTCTTGAGGAAAGCCTGTTTCCAAATACTAAATAGAATAGTGCTTATTATGTAAAAAAATAAAAATAAAGTTTGATTCCAAAACATTTGCAAGATTTGGTTTTTTGGTAAAAATTTGCAAGTTGGTAAGTTGTTCTTGACTTTTTGTAACTTATTAAATCTTGA